CTCCCCCCTCTCGTGCTCTCTCTCATTCTCTCTCTCTCAAATAAATAAATAAAAAATCAAAAAAAAAAATTAAAAAATATATAAAAACATTCAATTCTGATCTTGCCAGGATGAGACAGTGACTCTTTACATACAAAGCTCACATTTAATCTCGTGTTCAGCCTTGTGTGGCTTCTGTTGCGGCTCAGCAGGTTCTTTCAGGGGGTTCACACTGGCTGTTTCTCACCCCTGACGGCCTCCTGTCTTCCCCACACCGCGGTACCCACCACACAGATGTCCCCACGCTCCGCTTCGCACGGGCTCGGGGAAACCAGGCGTCCACACCTTCTTGCACCGCTGGAGCTGGTGGTGGGCAGCGGAGAACTGGGAGGGAACGTTTGTCCTTTTTAAAAGGATTTTATTTATTTATTAGAGCGGTCACAAGCACATGTCGAGGCGGGAGGAGCAGAGGGAGAGGGACAAGCAGACTCCCTGCTGAGCACGGAGCCCGATGCGGGGCTCGATCCCCGGACCCTGAGATCAGGACCTGAGCCAAAGGCAGACACTTAACCGACTGAGCCACCCAGGCGCCCCAAAACATTTGTCTTTCATTAAGGCTTGATAAGCCCCAGATGGCTTCCAACTTCCTTAGAGGGGGTTGTGCTGAGATGAGTGTAGATTTAATCGTCAAGGAGGTAAGAAATTTCACAGAAGTGCACGCAGGGGCAGTGAGGCCCCGGGTGCGGTAGCAGGGAAGGGAGCCTCCAGGGCCATCCGCATGCGGCCTGGGTGATGGCAAATGTATCACCTTGTTGTTACGGCCTTAAAATGTTTTTTGAAGTCACTAACTTTTGGAGGAATTGTGTTGCCCAGTGTTGATCACGGATAGGTTAACTGTAAGTCCTTAACAGGGGTGCTTCCCTCCACCCAGAAAGGTGCTGTTGGTGGACCAGAACTTTTGAGAAGTTGGGGCGCCTGGGTGGCTCCGTCGTTAAGCGTCTGCCTTCGGCTCAGGTCATGATCCCAGGGTCCTGGGATCGAGCCCATGTCGGGCTCCCTGCTCAGCGGGGAGTCTGCTTCTCCCTCTGCCCCTCCCCCTTCTGGTGATCTCTCTCTCAAATAAATAAAATCATAAAAAAGATTACACGCAGACTTTGGAGGCTGCAGTTCCTGAGCAGAATGGATGGCCCCTGGTACCCACTGTGTTCTGTGCCCCTCAGGAGCCGCCTCGACTGCGGCTGGGGCTTACCAACCCGGTTTCCCTCAGTTCTGGAGGCTGGCTGTCCGAGGTCAGGCTTCTTGCAGAAAGGCTGCCTGCTCGCCACGTCCTCACATGGCAGAGGGGGAGATGGCTCTGGAACTGCCCTTTTCCGCAGACACTAATCCCATCGCGGGCACCGCCCTCACGGCCTCCCCTAACCCCAGTCACCCCCAGAGGCTTGCCTCCTAACGCCATCCCCTGGGGTCTAGGCCTTCACCATGTGAATTTGGGGGAGTATGTTCAACCCACCACACATGGGCAGCAGAAGCTGAAAAGGTTCCCTTTGGAAATTTGGAATTTAAGATCTTTCTGTTGGTGAGAACACCAGCCTCCGCCTCCAGGCTGCCCAGCAGGCCTCCCCTACCTGTGAACAGCCCTCCCTGAACAAGAGCTTCCACCTGGCTGCTGGAGAGGATGATTCATGCTCTTAATTAGACACCGGAGCAGTGTCGTTACCTTGACTTGACAGGCTGACGAAATTGCGGGGAAAATCTCCAGTTTGAAAAATGTCCAAGTGTGTATTGTGCACACGCACGCACACACACACACACGCATGCCCGTACCCAGCTCTGGATAAGGATGCTGGAAACCTCCAGCTGTCTGTCCTGTCTGTCTGCTTGGCTGGGCCCTGAGGAGGGAAAGGCGGCTTGTGAGAGGGTGGAGGAGCTGGGTCAGGGGGCTGGGGGGACAGGGTGCGCCTGGTGGGGGAGGAGGGGTCCCTGGAGCGTCTGCGCTCATCGGCCCGCAGCCAGGCCCCGCTCAGTTGGAAAGAAGCTGGGGCCGGCGTCCCTGGGAGCAGGAGCCCTTTTCTGAATTTCTATGTATTCTGTTCTGTTTTCTGCTTTAGGAGGTTAGTTTTCAAAGCCTCCTCTTGAAGGCGGTGGGGCCAGGGCACTGGAGGCGATCCAGGCTGAGAATGACACCCCAGGCCAGTGGGGCTGGGGCTGGCTTGTCGCTGCGGCTGGGCCCTGGGGCCTGTGTGCACAGTGACCTCGCCCAGGGACGTTGGTCTTGTTCTGCACTGCAGAGCGCTTCTCCAAGAAGCCCTCCAACAAGGCCCCTGTCTTTCTGCTTCCTTTGTCATTATAGTTTAGTGTCTTTTCCACGTTAAACATGCTTGTATTTTACGCAGGCTGTTCCCCCAAATCCCCGGGCCCCCCCGGTCACCTTCCACCTAAAACCCAAGTGGGAT